ATACACATATGTATACAGTTGTATTTATTCCATAGTAAAACTTTGTCTAATCTAGTATATTCCTTGCAGAATTTAAAGAAACATAAAGCAGATAGAAAATATTTACATCCCCATCCTCAGTGTTTTTGGAAGGCTCTCGGTTTAGAATGGGCATGTTTGCAGCAGGAGAGGGGGTCTGTCAACAGAGACAGAATTAAGAGTTGGCAAATACAATGGAAGAATTTATTTTAGCTAAAACAGTAAATTAAAAAAGGTTAAAATGATTAAAATTAAACATGAGTAAGGGTCATGTTGCATGAAAATGAAGATTATAATAAAATAAATAACTGTAAAAAATAAAACAAAAAACTAGTTTTCTATGTGAATCATCACTTTGAAAAAAAAAACAGTTATAGAAAATTCTCATTAACTTCTGTTCTATTATTATTTTTTAAGTATTTGAAATACTTACCAAGCATAGGAAAAGAAGAAGTCCCTCTCCTCCTGAAGCTCAGGCAAGAATATCTTCATCCATCCTTACTTAAAAAAAAAGCACAGATTCTTGCAAAAACTAAAATAAAAATGCACCAAACTCTCATCACTTGTTTCCTTTATCAATTCCAGCATCTTTCTGTTTCCTTCATGGCACCAGCTCAACTCCTTCCTTGGCTAGAGAGAGATGCTGAGAGAATCCCTCAGCCTCCAGGCAGCCAGGCTCCTCCCAGAACTCTTGCTATTCGCCGAGAACTTTATTTGGCACCTCTCCTCTTCACTCCACCTTATTTAGACTCAGATGTTACTCTGCAGAACGATGCGTTTGTTTTGCAACCTTTCATCTGTTTGGGCTGATGTTTCATGCAAATATCTGCAGGTCTGAACGAAACAGAGCTTTATATAATCAGTTATCTCTCAGGAGTATAATGGTTTGTGTTTTTGCACCAAATTTATCCTTTAAATAATAATAAAAAAAACAGTTTCACTTGCAATGAGATTGATTCTATTTCTATTAGAACTAATAAAAAACAACATATGTTCTTTATTAATAAGTATCCAGAGGCGAAAAGTACTTAATTATCTATTATGTGACCATGATTTTAAAAGTGAATGGGTTTTCGTCTGTTGAGTATAATTAAATAATCATAGTCTGTTAAAAAAAATTATAGAGCCCATTAAACAAACCACGAGGACGGTATTGTTTCCATAATATTGATTTAATTATGTACATCAAATATACACATCTTTACAGATCATTTTAGGCTTTGCATTCCAGAAGCACACCATTCAGAAAGAATTCAACTTAATTATTAAATAATCAACAAGATGCAGATCACTGGTCATTTTCACCATGTAAAACACATTTATTTTCCTTTTTTTTCTCTCTCGTCAAAGTGAACACAGGTGACATTAAAAGACGCAAACATTACAGTTTTCTTTAAATATTCCCTGAATGATAAGATGAACAGGCAGAGATTTACTTCAGCGAAACTCAAACACGAAACTGTCATAAATATCAGTTGTTTTGTCGCACAGTTGTGTTTTACAGCTGATTGAAGTGGAGATGCTGCGCGCGCTCGGGCACTTTCGGGTCAAAGGTCCCTTTTTTTTTACGCGTACTCTCCTCCCGAGGACTCGTCCTCGGAGTGCGAGCGCTGGACAAACGTCTCGATGCCGTTCTCGTCGATCGTCGTGCACAGGCCCTTCCTCTTCTTCTCGCGCTGCTCCATCTTGATGGTGTCGTACAGTCCCGCGGGGCCGTCCTCCAGGAGCATGTTGCGCTCGGAGAAAGACGGCCGCATCTGCGCCACGTTCTTCAGCAGCAGCAGCGCCGGCGCGTAAAGCACGTTGGCGAGCCCCATGCCCAGGTTGAGCTGCACGAAGCCCAGGTCGTGCACGATCTGTCCCGCCACGATGGGGCCCAGGGCGTAGGCCACGCAGTAGGATATGTCCGCGATGGCGTACACGCTGCCGTACACGGAGACGTGGCGCACGTCCACGAGGAAGCCCAGCGTGGGCAGGAGCGCCGTGTCCACGAAGGCGATGCCGAAGCAGATGCCGCACAGGGGGATCATGAGCTGCCCGAAGTTCTTACAGGCGGGCACGGTGCAGGAGCTGGCCCCTATGAACACCATGCCTATGGCCCCATAGAACCACTGCAGGTGCGGGTACTTGGCTGCCAGCTTCACGGTGAGATACACGCCCAACACGTGCGGGAAGAACGCGGGGAACCAGGTCATGCCAATCTCCCACTCGCTGGCGTTCATGTTCTGCTCCATCCAGTTCGCGATGGTGGGCTCCAGGAAGGCGAGAGGGATGTTACAGATGATCAGGGCCCCCGCCACCACAGCTATGTACGGATCGATCATCAGCTTGTAGATGGGGGTGCCCACCGGCATGTTGTCCCTCTCTCGGTTGGAGAAGGGCTTCAGCACGGCGAGACACAGCACCCCATCCGTGAGACAGATGCAGGCCAGGATCAGGAAGGGCACGCGCTTCCCGGCGAACTCGTACAGGACGCCTCCGAAGGGGGGTGCCACCAGGCTCCCGAAGGAGATGAAGGCCAGGGCGATCCCCAGCGCCTTGCTCCTCTCCGCCTCCTCCGTGAACCTGTCCGCGATCAGGGCGATCCCCGACGTGTCCGCGAAAGCCGAGCCCAGGCCCTGGATGCTGCGCGCCAGGAACAGAGTGGCGTAGTTGTCGGCGAAGGCAAACGTGAGGGTGGAGAGGAACATGATGTTGAGGCCGATGAAGAGCGGGATGTCGTAGCCCACCCGGTCTATGAAGGTGCCGCTCAGCGGGTTGACCAGGAGCTGCAGGATGGCCTTGGAGGCGAACAGGACGCCGATCTGCAGGTCGAAGTTGCCTTTGGTTGCTCTGTGGACGGTGCTGTTGGAGGAGTTGGTGTGAGGCGCAGCAGCAGCCTCGGCATCATCCGCTGCTTTCTGCAGCCCCTCCAGGTAATCGGGTATGATTGGCACAATCACCATGTAAAGCATGTTGTCTAATAAAAGGGCAACGCAAACGATCACAAGAATGATCCGTTTCTGGCGCTGTGGGTCTTGGATAACGTTGCCCAGTTGTTTAGTTCTTTCACCCATCTGGGACAGCTTGGAGGCGGCAGACTGAGCCATGTTGGCAGCTTGTCCCTCTGTCATCTCCTCTGGTTCCATGATTTAATTTAAAATAATATTTTCTAGGAGTTGTCTTCTTGAAATAAAGCAAATAAAAATAATTCTTCTCTCCGAGTTTGTTTACAACACTTAACACATCTGTTCTGTCTGTGTTAGTTTTCCTCTCCAGCACCGGGAGACCTGACAACTTTCCACCGCTTTACCTCTTCTGCGCCCCTCACGCTGTCTGTCATTGCGCGCGCGTTTTCACCTCCGTGACTTGGACTCGTTTCATCTCTCCTTGCCTCATTGTCTCATATCCAGTCATGGAGCTTGACGTGCAGGTCCAGGACAGCGCACTCACAAGGTTGGAGTTTTTTTTTCTTTTCTTAACTCCAAAGTATCGCGGCGCCGCTGCCTGAAGGTCCGCCTGCTGCTGCTGCTGCTGCTGCCGCGGCGCGCGCCTCACCGCTCCCTGCCTCACCCAGCTGTCTTCAGCCACCTGTAACGCGGCGAGCTAAGTCATCATTTCACATCAGCCCGGACTGGGTTTTTGTCGGTTGATGGACGGAAAACACACAGCAGTTTGTTGACTCCCATAGGTGTCCCCCCCACCAACCCCCTCCACCTCCCCTCCCATCTCCATCCATGGCTGTGACGCACAGTCCTGCTGCTCTTTTATGCTAATTAAACAAAATCCCGAGCGAACACTGCTGCCCAGTCAGCTGCGTCAAGGCAGTGCTCGTGCTTCTGTAACAAGTGGATGTTTGACTTCTTAAAAGTTACATTTTTTTAAATGGTATGCTACAAACAGGTTTATGAGAACACTGCTGAAGAAAAAAGACGCATTCTTTAGTTTCAGTGGATAAGACAGAAGCTGAGTTACTGACTTTTCAGTTTTTTTCCTACTAAATTTGTTTTTCAACTAATCAATTTGCCTCTTTAGCAGAAAGGAACACTTTTTTTTTAATTTTTGAGAGAATGAAAATCAGCACAAAAAACCTTTTGAGTGCGATAATTAAAATGAAGAAAAATCCCATGAGCTGCTCCTTGAACCAGAAGCTGATCATGGCAGGTGAAGGAGCTGAAAACTATTTATTCACGCATGAACGATTAATTTTTTTGTCATAATCTCATTTTAGGTTCATATTTATAAAATCTAACTTATTTTCTGCAGAAAAAATGAAACAACTTTAAACTGAGACGTTTAAATTTTTGATTGTAGCCTAAGCTGTATAGGCCAAATTCATTAAAAATAGTACATTTATTCAGTTTTGGTGCTTCATAAATATATATATACAATTCTAACATTAATCCGTCCGTCCACCCATCTATCCAGCCATTCTTACTTTTTTTTCTGTTTCTGTGGAGTTTGGAGCAGTTAAAGCCTTTCCATTCCCCCAACTGGCAGATGGATACTGCCCTCTAGCGGTGAAGACAAGCCACTGCAAGTATAATCAGTTTTCTCCTACTGTTTAAACAAACAAACAAACAAACAAACAAACAAACAAACAAACAAACAAACAAACAAACAAACAAACAAACAAACAAACAAACAAACAAACAAACNCAAACAAACAAACAAACAAACAAACAAACAAACAAACAAACAAACAAACAAACAAACAAACAAACAAACAAACAAACAAACAAACAAAAGTAGTAGTACATAAATTGAATTTGTTAATTGATTTTAGCCTGTTTTACAATTTTCCCTGCACAATTTCCAATCACATGGAAATGAGATCTTTCAAAAGTTTCAAGACAACTTTATTTCCACCAATATCAGGATCCGTGGCTGCTTTTTGAAGGTCTCCTGCGTATCTTAATTTTTTGGGGGTTAATATTTGTTTTTTTGTGTTTTGGGTTTAGCTCTGTCCCATGTGCCACTAGTTTGTTATCGTAATCAGTAAATTCTTCTCTGTTCTGCCATGCCCACCTTCACCTGTTCCCTGTTACCATCAAGCCACCTGTTTCTAATTGCCTTGTCAGCCTTCCTCATTTTCATGCTCCATCCGCAGTCTGGCATTGTGCGCTTCAGTTTTTTTTTTTTTTTTTTTTTTTTGCCGTGTGTTCCCTTGTGTCAACTTGTGTTTTTTATCCAATTCCTGTAAATTGTTGTTACATTGCCCCTCAAGCCTTTTGTTTTTCCTTTACGTATATCTTTAAGAATTCTTTCTCCTTAGCGAAAGGTTCCCAACTGGCACTAAAACTTCTTTTTTTTAAAGGAAAAAAAAATGTATAGGTCTTCTGGACGGGTTCTTCTTTAATGAAACGTTTCGTCTCTCCTCCAAGAGACTTCTTCAGGCAGGAGGCAGGACTCAAAAGCCTGAATTTTGCCTGAAACTCTCAGACTGAAGAAGTCTCTTGGAAGAGAGACGAAACGTTTCATTAGAGAAGAACCCGTCCAGAAGACCTATACAATTTTTTTTCCTTTTGATTTTTTTTACCTGGATTACTGAGATGCATCAGGACATTCTTTTTTTTTACATTACCCTTTTCAGGGGTCACCACAGTGAGTCAGCCTGTGCATCCTCTGTCCTCACTCCAACTTCCTCTCTGTCCTGACTGACTGCATCCTTTATGTCTCCAGTAAAACACAGAATGTTCTGACACAAAACATCTTGTCTGCATTGCTCCTCAGACGCTCTTATTAGAGCACAACTGGCATCTAGTGGAGGATGAATATATCAAAGGAAGAACCACTGAAACCTTAAAAAGCTATTCCTTTCCCCCCTGAATGTACTATTCTGTCTGCTTTGAAGCTGATCTGTTTTGCTGAGAGACACCATTTAATGATATTTATAATAAATTACATTAAAATGGATTTTTAATAAACTACACATCTGAACACATCATTAAAATAAAGTGTTCAGTGATGAGGAAATTGTGTTTTAACACTTTAGTTTTTAATCATGTCAAGCTGAATATGGAAAAAATAAAATCCAAGTTTCAGTATTTTTTGTGTCATTTTCTTTTCAGCCATCAGATGTCCTCATACCCATTTTTTCAGACCAATACTAACATTAAATCTATTACAATTATATGTCACATATTTATATAATGTTTCTGCTTTTTCAACTTGAAAAAAAAAACCCACTGAAAAAAAATCTACATTCCAATTGGAGGCATTTCTTATATTTTAGAATATTTTTTATCAACAGGCAGACATTTATATAATCAACAAGCCAGATCTATTATTTACATGCCATTTATTCACTGTGACAATGCTCATATACATGTATAGTAAACTGACCAACTGTAGTTTTTAATAATTTTTCACTTAGATATAGTTTCGGTAAATGCAGGAAGAAAAATTGAACAAAAATTTTAGTGTTTTTAAATTTTTTTGGTGATAAAGCATCTAAAGGAGTTTAATGTGTTTGTGTTTTTTAGGCCACAGAAACAAAGATTATTAACTGAACCCAAACTGACTGGAAAACTGAGCAGTTACTTCTCGTTGTTTGATGGTCGTGTGGTTCAGTCAAACCACAAGCAGATAATTATGATTATGTTTTTCTAAATAAAGTTTTTTTCTATACATGAAGCCAGAGAAAAGCAGCTCAGTAGTTTAAGGTTGAACTCAGGGAACTTATCAGCAAATGCATATTTGCAGACCTTCGCACGCATTTTCAGAAAAATACAGCCAGTTATTTACTCCCAGAACTTTATGTGACGTAGACAAGTTAAAACCCAGTTAATAAATGCTAGGAGTCCAACCAAAAGGAGGCTTAACATGTTTCTGTTTTATTTTTAGACTTAATGTTGCGTCATAGAAAGGAAAAAAATAATAATCATATTTTTTTCCAGCTGGAAAGCTTATAGGCAGAATCATGAAGGACAAAGTTCTGCGCCTCAAACAAATTATTTGACATATTTGAAATTGGGGCTATGCTAAGGTTTTTATTTTGTTGTTGTTTTTGCTTCGATATGATCTGAGATCAGCTAAGGAGCTTCAACTCTGCAATGTTGAAAATTTGCCAAAGTATTAATTTAGAGCAGGCAGACAAAATCCCAAGCTGCTGCAGCCAAAAAAAGCAGCATCAACATCCAACACAATCAAAGTAGACCAAGAGAGCTGTTTGGTTTAAATTCCTGCTTTAAAACACAGAACAAATTGTTATAGCAAGAAACACACTGCTAGACACACCCATAAGGAAATTCATAAGCGTACAGATGACCTGAATCTAATTTTACGTTATTTTTTTATTAAAATTGTCTGCAAAAAGTCAAATTTACACCTTTCAAATTGCATTTGATAAAGGTGTAAATATTTTTAATGAGCTTCGTTAATTTAATCAAAGCATATCTGTTGCTCCTGAAGACCAGCTTACTTACTCATTAAATGATAATAACAAATTAACTCACACATATTAACATGCATTATTGCTGTTTGTTGATCAGCAGAGTTATGCAGAATTGGCACGTCTTGCATAAACTGAAGTGTGTCTGACGGTAAATAAAAAAGACGATTACTTTAGTAAGCACCATTCATTTAACACAGTCTAAATATTTATCAAGAATCAAAGAAGAATGTTCATGGAAAGTTCAAGGACAAGATGTGTGTGTGTGTGTGTGTGTGTGTGTGTGTGTGTGTGTGTGTGTGTGTGTGTGTGTGTGTGTGTGTGTGTGTGTGTGTGTGTGTGTGTC